CTACAGGAAGCCCAAGGCAGAGTTGCTCTGCCCCAGGCTTCCTGGAATCAGCCGCTGATCAGTTTCAGCAGCAGCTGACTTGGGGACGCCTGGGTTTCTTAAGTTGAATCTGTATGTAAGTCAGAACTGGTGTCCAGATTCAGCTGTGGTTGAAACTGATCAGTTTCAGCAGCGGCTGACGCCAGTTCCGACTTACATACAGATTCAACTTAAGAACAAACCTACAGTCCCTATCTTGTACATAACCTGGGGACTGCCTGTAGTTCAATTTGCTTGATTTTTTTGTAACAGGTTAATTTCAGTTCCATTTATACAGCCACATTCTAACTTCCAAATGTGTTCTACAGTTTGTTAGTATCAAATTGGTTATAATTGCTGTAAATAGACTCAGTTCTGCTGTGAAAAGCCAAATATGTGTAAAAATTAAATTTTCATTCTCATTTATCTCTTTTCAATTAGGCACGAATGTTGTATTATTTCTGCTGTGGTTCCCTCAGACTTTGATTGTGCTTTGCAGTTAATTAGAAGAAACTTTGGTTTAATTACTGAGATTCCCTTCCATTATTTCCACATATCCTGTGAATAGATTGTAAAAATGCAGTTATAGCCCATAAACATGCGGATCATTGGCTTTTAGTAAGTAGCATTCACTTGTCTGCATCGTAGTAGCGGTTGCTTAGCTAGATAATTAATGAGGCCATAAAATCTATGATTTAGTTTTTTGACGGTATTCCCACACTGGAGGCCTGCTTAGTTTAGCTCCTGATCTAAACCCCATTTACGTCAATGGAAAGACTCCTGTCGACTTCAGTGACTTTTGGATCCAGCCATTAATGTTTTTATGGGGTACAGTTTTTCAGTTAAAATACTTTATTGACAACCAGTCAGAGAGTAGCTATAAAAATGGTTACAACTTTGAAAATGTTCTCTTGAGCAGCGTCCAGCTAAGGCTATCGCCACGCAAAGGCTAGTGTACAAGGACCGTGCTGTAACTGCTGGGAGCTGCACTGAAGCAAACATGGGACTTAGTGGATGCAGCAATTGCTGTCAGTGCAGGATGAGAGCCACAAATTAGGTTTCTTAGGGGGTAGGGTTGCCAGGTGTCCGGTACTGAACTGGACAGTCCGGTATTTGCTCCTTCCATCCAGTAAAAAAAAAAGCCTGACTTTTTTTTCTCAACAACTTTGCCTGTGACTTTTTTTTTCTTAACAGATTTTTTTTCATTTTTTTTTTCGTTTTTTTTTAAGGGGGGGAGTTGGTATTTTTTGTGAAACCATCTGGAAAACCCAGGGGGTAGCTGCATGTAGGTCACTTAAAAGTCATTTGTCCCATCCGACCTTTGCATTCTGAAATGAATGATGAAACCTGTCGATTGGAACAAATGAGAAAAAATTGTATGGACTGTCCTGAAATAGGGAATCTGCCAGACCAGGGGAGGTCAGTGCTGCCCCCCTGCTATTGCTGGCTGCCAGGCTGTGCTCTGGTGGCAGCAGAGGAGCCAGCATTGACTGAGCGATGACAGGGGTGTGCTCCCTGTGGTGCTCAAGATCTCAGGGAGAAGAGCGAGGACAGAAGCAGCCCTGAAGCTGGGGGATGAGAGCGCAGGCCCGTGGCCACCAGGTTGCTGTGCTCCTGGCCCTTGGCCACAGGGCTCCACTGCCACCCTGCCTCTTTCCTCAATCATCCCCCTGTTCCTGCTCCTCACCCTCGCTCCCTGAGCTTGAAGAAGCTACCTGTGGTGTCCTGAAAGCTCTATGAGGATGTGGAAGGAGTTGCTGAGCGCAGGGCCTGGCTTCTCTTCATGAGTGCTCCAATCCAGGACCACCCACAGGGATGCCGGACCACAGATGTTACTGGACAGTGGAAGTGCAGAGGTCGAATTTGTACGTCCTAGTTGGCAAAAATACCTCCGTCACAGAGACTTGATCCTTTCCTTCATATTCGGGGTGTATTTAGCACTTTATAAACCTCTTAGGGTGGGAATGTTTAAAAATCATTTGGGGAAAAAACATAAGTCCTCTGTGTAAACATTTACAAAAAAAAAAAAAAAAAAGGTCACACTGCATCAGGTCACAGAATTGTTATTTACTGTGTAACAACCGTCACCATGAAGATAGGACAATATTAGACTAAGTAGTTCAGGAGCAGGCATCCTCTTAAGTAATGCATCGGCTCCAATCCTATGTGGCCTGGGAACTTCCGTCCTGAAAACTTTTCTGTCTTTTGATCATAAGCTTAGTTTAATCCTGTAGTAGAAATATGGGAGAGAAAGAAAAGAATTCTTGTATTGGTTAGTCCACCTCTGTGTCACTGTAGAATTGTTCCCAGTAGTGCATTTCCTAACTTTTATAACTGGTCTAGTTTTTAAAAAATCCCTGGTGATGGGCTTCAGCCAACGCTGGGAGACTAGCATAGCCGAATACATCACTGTAGGAGAGTTTTTAATGAATTCAACATACATTTTTCCTTTTTTGATTTCATCTAGTGTTCACTCGCCTGTCCAGGTGATCAGTAATCCATCCCTAAAGTCATTTCTCCTGTCTTTTTTAATTCCTCACATCCTTCAAAACCAAACGTATGTCTCCAGCACCTGTTTTGTTTTTAATCAAATGTCATAGTGCATAATAGTATCTCTCATATTCCCTACATTTGTGGAGACATCTAATATATTTCTATATTTCTTATTCTTCAGCAAATATTTCTGTTAACTGTGCAAAGAATCAGCCAAAACCTCTAAACATTGGCAATTGTTAATATTTTTGGATAGTTTTCTTCCATACAGAGTTGAGTGAGCAACAGATTTTTTTGGTTGGCTGGAAATTACAGAAAATCATAAAACTAAAACATCATTTTGCTCCACCACAATTTCTTGTGGTACATTACAGTCTCCCCAAGATAAAATGTTGTACTTAGATTTTAAGCATTTAAATGTGTTTACATTTTTAAATAAAATAGAAATTACTTTTGAATGGAAAAGTTATAAGCCGGCTCCCGGCATGTACCTACTCCTGGCTGGCAGCCCCACTTCCGAGGAGCCACAGGCTCTGAATTATAAAGCTTAAGTATAAGCTTTATACATATGTAAGCTTTATATATAAGATTATATATACGCTTTATACTGCAAAGCCCGCAGAATGTGAATTTTGAATGGTTACATGATTACATTTTTAACCCATTTTTTTTTACATTCCTAATTTCAGTGTTGCCAAATCTTCATCCTCCCCCCCCCCAAAAAAAAGTTTCAGCCAAATAATTTCACCCAGCTCTACTCATTATACCTTCATTGCTCCCTTTACATTTACATGTGCATTATGAGGTCATTTGAACCCATTATTAGGATACATTTTTGTCAGTACGCAACACAACTCGGCACATTGAAATGATTTTTTCTTTAAATTGGCATGGATAAAACAGCTCAAATATAGACACAAAATTACGCTCTGCATTTAATACTATAGCAGCTTTTTCTGGTGATGAACAACTGTATTGGATAAGTAACTATAGGCCAGTATATAATGATAAGGTCTGGTAGGTTCCTAAAAGAACTGTGCCTGAGACTAAAATATAAGTAAATGCCTTTTCTGAGAACATTATTTCTTTAACAAAAGTGCTTTAATTAATTGTTACAAATAGCATTCAAATGGTGAAATTAAATATCTGTCCTATATGAGATACTAGTGTTTCATGCCATTGAAGATCTCACTCAGCCCAACAACAAACAAGAAATCCAGAGAGCCTCGTGTTTGGTTCTTGTGTGGAAATAGTGCAGACAAAATGAAGATGGACTGATGTTATTCATCTCCCAAAAGAAGACAATGAAGAAAAGGGCCATTGACGGAGAACAGGCTGCCTGAAGTAAAGCCCCTTCCAATACTCCAATTCAG